AAAAAAAAAAAAAAAGAACATAGCACAGAAGATTTGTGTTTGATTTATTTCAGCATATTCTTTATATTAAAGTACAATATTCTTATGTTCTGTATCATCAACATAAAGCATCTAGCATCTGTTAATATGTTTTAAAGTTGTGTTGATATAAACAGATCTTTATGTTAAGACATCACCTCAATTATTTCACTCTTTGCCTCTGTGAACTAAAAGAAAGTTAAATTGAATAAATTGCCAAAAATAAAGGCTACATTTAACAACAAGTGGTTTAATTATTAACTTTATATGTTCCATGTCTATGCTACACTGGGTCTAATAAGACTATGAAAAACATCAATCGAAAATCATAACCCAGCAAATGCATTACATGTTTCAGCAAGACAATTAAGTAGTAAATCTTCTTCCAAGCTGTACTTTTATTATATTTTCTTAAATGTTTTATATGTCCTAAAAGTTGTGGCACACTTTAAAACAACAAATTATGTTGTTTTAAACAACATAATTTGGATGTAATAAAATCAGCATATAGGATGAAATAAAATCAATTACATCCTATAAGGAACATCTGCTAAAAACTACACATTACAAAAAAAGAGACAGAAATAAGGGAAAACAATAAGAAAAAAATACTTTTCATTCTAAATGCAGCTACAAAATTCAGCTTTTTCTTCAACTTCTGTTGCATTGAGTATAAAATTGGTAACAAATGAAATTCACATAATTGAATTATAAGCTTGACCTTCGTAAAATATATATATATGTATGTTAAACCCAAGTTAAAAATTTAGTGTAGGGACTACACTTAATTAAAAGTACATCTGTGTTAAGAATGAGAAGCAACAACTAATTCATCGTTTCAGACCAAAGTAAATTTATCGAAATGTTCTAACATCAGTGTAGACCGTCTCCTCTTGAGCCGTTCTTACATTCCTTCTTTCTCCCTTTTTAGCTTTGTTCTTGTTAAATGTTGGTGCAGAATAAACCAAATTCTCTTCTCTCTGGAAAGACAATAAAAAACTTAAATAATAATAACCTTAAGTAAAAATGGCAATTTTTTTTTTCTGCCTTACCTTTTGACTTTGGTTATCACCAGTAATTGTTGCAGGACCTGTTTGTACAGTGAAGAAAAAATAATAATAGAATGTCAAACTTATTGAAAATAGTTTTGATAAATGGATAAATGAATCTTGCATTACCATTGCAACAGCCACACTTTTTCTTCTTGATTTTATAAATGAGCCAAGATATTACAACAAGACATATAACCAAAGCCGAGCCCAAGGAAGGAAGTAATATTTTTGAAAAATACTCTGAGTCGGGGCCTGAAAAGATTAAAGAAACATTAAAAGTAGGAAAAAATACATTGAAAATTAAATTCCAGTAATATTCTCATCTTAATTGTGATTTAGAAAAGATTCGTAGATACCAGAACGTTTTGCTTCGTTTCCAAATAATATCTGTCCACATGCGGCCACAGCGCAGTTGTAAATCCCAGCATCAGAGGTCTCCGAAAAGTTGTAAAAACATTTTTGTGCAGAAGCAGTTTCAGGAATCCTTTTACACTCATCTCCACTGTTTTCTTGTAAATAAAGTAAATTGGGATGAGAATGATCTGATCCAGCTTTGAACCAGTACACTCTGTGATCTGCTGGACAAGTTTTCCTCTCAGAGTAAGAGAGAACTGAACACTGAAGAGTCTCTTGGGTCTCTGACTGAATGGCCCCAGATGGAGAATCTTTCAGTAAAACAGTTACATTTGATTCTTCTCCTGAAAAAAAAAATGTTTTACTCTCACAACCAGAAGAATATTACTCACAAGTAAGAGTATGATTTTCTAAAATACTGAAACACTGCATTTACCTCTAATTTGTAGAAATGTTCCATTCATAAATATGAAGTCAAGTTGTCTGACTTTAACACAGTAGTAAAGTCCAGTGTCGTTTCGATAAGCCTCATTAATAATAAGAAGAAATTCTCCTTGCTCTTGTTTGGTCTGAATTCGAGGAATCTTTGACTCTTCATCAAACTCAAAGTTAAATGTTGCTCCAAGAAATTCTGGCCAGTTTCCAGAAACCAGTCGGATCCAGTACAGAGTTTCTTGGTAGAGAGCTGAGGTTTGGCGAGGGCAGCTTAGGTTCACATTTTGTCCAGTAGTCACAGTTTTTACCTCAAAATTATTTTCTGTGCAAACTGAAAATAAAACCCACAATTCAGTCTATTATTAAAAAACAACTCAATGTAACTCAATGTAAATTTGAATAAGAGATAGGCCTTCAGAGCTAATTATTATTGTATATTTTTGATTTGTAAATATACTTACATGCAAAATTGAACGTGAGTGCTGCATAAAGTAGGAAAAGCATTTTTGTATTAATCCACTATAGCGGCGACATCCAACTAAGAGGCGATCATAAGATGGTGCCTCCTAATATAATGTTGCAGAGTGGGAGTGAACAACTTCACAACGATCTGATTGGCCTTTTTAATCATGAGGTTTCACTGTACTACAACCACAGTGGAAATAATGTAAACCTTGTTTCCAACCTTAACATTTGAAACAAATGTGTATACTTTCTTTATGATCAAATTACTGAATTCCTCCACCAGTATATATGAAGCTCTGCAGAGGCCTGATAATTCATTTGATTGAGGTCACCTGCAGAAGAGATGCATGTAAAGATCCAGGACAGTAGCTCTTGAGAACTGAAGCTGAACACCTCAGGAGTGTTGAACTAGAACTAACACTCCACTCAGGGCCATATTTTGTCTTTACAGAATTACACTATTAAAAATATAAACAAGGGCCCAATGCAACCTTTTAGTGGACTGTAATCTATAAAAAGAGCTGCCTGTTTGCTGCAGTGGAGATGAAGATGGTCCATTCAGGAAAGCAGAGCTGCATCAAACTTTAATGTGGAACTGCAGAAAAAAAAGTAAAAATTGAATCCTTGATGCATGTCACCATGAGAAAAGCCTACTGAGTTTAGCTTCAAAAACTTGTTTTAAAATTAAAATCACACATTTTTGTCTCATGAAGTGAAAAAATTATTTGCAAAACAAACTTATTTGTGCATGTCAGAAATCTTTTCTTGATATTCTAAGTTTTTGTTTGACTAAGTTTTGCTTGTGATTCTCACATGACATCATGGACAGGACCTAAAATCACAACAGAATATTTCTGATGTGTGCAAATAAAAGTTTATGTTTGGCAAATAACTTTTTAAGTTCGCGAGACAAAAATGAGTTATTTAATTAAAAAAAGAGTTTTTTAAACAAAACATTTTGTTTTTAAAAAAGAAATCATTACAATTCCAAAAGTTTTGATTACAATTTTATTTTACTTAACTGAGTTTATTTTATTTTTTCCCATTGAATAATTGGGGAAAAAGTTTAACTACATACTCTGCGAACCAGACCCTAAACTTAAAGTCTGGGTTGAGTTTTTTTCCCCTTCATTAATGACACACTTTTATTACATACATTATATCTATCATGGTAATTCAGGGTGAGTTATTTTTAATTCTAAATGAATATCCTTGTTGGACTTTTATTTAAGTGCTATTCTCCTTCAAGATACATTTACCTAACGCTAGAATAAATGCAATGTGCATTATGGAGCAAAGGAAATTAGAAGATCGGACATATATCCATTATGGAGATAAGTTTTGGACGGGCAATGTTCCTCGTACACAGGGAAGAAGCTTTTAGTTATCTAGCTTTGCTA